GTCCTACAAGAGCCCAGAAAGAGACCACTGTCCCCTCTTCTCTGGGCAGACTCCTCTTGCCCCTCCCACAGAAGGCCAAGCTGGGGCGTGGGGCTGAGCACAGCCAGGTTTGGTGAGGTGTGGGTGCTAAGCCCGTGGACGCTGGGAGGAAGAGGTCCAAGACCAGGGGCCCTGGAGGGAGAGGAAACAGTGTGGGCATCTGGGCCTGGGATGGGGGTGATGACGGCAAAAGTGGCACCAGCCAGAGGCCCTGCTGAAGGGAGATGGCTCCTGGATGGGGCACGGGGCTCCTCTGGAGACGTTAAGTACCAATCCTGAGTCTCCAGACAGACCCTGGCCTGACCTCTCCCAGCATCAAAGGGGCTGTGAGTGTGCACATGCGCACTGTGTGTGTGCACAGGCAGGGGTGTGCATGTGTCTGTGCTTCTGCTCACTCCAGGGTGAAAGTGCGGGGTCGGGGATGACCATGGAGTCCGGACCAGCCTGGGTGGTTGGCATTTTGGCAAATCCAGACAGGGAGGAAGAGGGGTTAGGAACAGAGGTTCCACAGCTAAATCAAAAGCGAGAGACAACTTGTACCAGAAATTAGGACACACAAGTGGGACCCTGTGGTCAACCTCCCCTCTCTGGGGCAGAATCAGGAAGGGAGAGCAGAATTGGGGGGGGGCAGTGTTTCTGTTTTACTAGGAAAAGTCCTGGCCTCTAAGTCCATGGGGCCGGCTACTCCCTGGCCCTGGCCCTGGCCCTCGCCTAACAAGGCTCATCCTCCAAGCCCTTTGCTCTGAGAGAAGTGGGAAGAATGACGGTTGCCCAAGCCCCTCCTTGTACCCAAGCTATAGATTTTAAACTGAGGCACAAGACACTGGGAGAGACGAATAGCGCTGAGGCTGGAACTCACTCCCCGGGTTTCGGGGGACATTCGGGGTCACTCTGGTTGGGATTTCCCCCATCCGTCAGCAGAGTGGCTCATCCTGTCTCCACGTGGGATCTGGGGTGGATCCATGAGAATCTGAGCATAAGCCTCCACACCTCTGTTGAGCCCAAGAGCGTTCTGAAGTTCTAAGAATCCAACGGGAAGAAAAGTGATGAAAAATACAGGACCCCGGGCATCGCCACCTGCTCAGGCTGACCTCAGCCTCCCTTCCCCTGACAGCCTGGACTCCTGTCTCCTCCAATACACACAGAACTCTCTGCGGGGGAAAGGCTCCAGCCCCAGGCCCTGGAGAGCATCTCCTCTCTTGGACCTCCCCTCACCTTGCTATTCCACCTGTGGAGGTGGGGATGCTAGAGATGCTGCTCACCAGGTAAGTGGTATCTTTGAGCTGCCCCTCCGAGGCCATGCCCAGAACCTGCTTGGCCCACTCAGTGCCCACTGAGCGCTTGCTGAATGCATAAAAGCAAAACAGGGAGCCTCCACTGGTGGGCCTGCTAGAGGCCAGCACGGGGAGCCCATAGAGACAAAGGCCAGGTTCCACGGGGGAGTGTGTGTCAGCGGAGGGTCAGCAACTGCTTCAGACTGCTCGTCCCACAGCCAAGGTCATGGTCTCTGGGGAGGGTCAGTGTGGCTGAAGTGGTGGTTGGTGCTTTAAAAGTGTTCATCCACCTCCGATGCCCCTGTTGAAAGCCCTCTAAGCAAGCCGGCCAGAGGGAGTAGCAACAACAGTGAACAGCCCCTGCAGCCAACAACTGGAGGATTTACATCTCAATTACATATCCCCAGGCCTTTTACACAATGGAGGAGGCTTTCTCTGTCAGCATCACTAACAGGGTAAAAACAGCCGGTGTCATTAAATCCTGAGGTGGGCCTGGAGCCCATGGCCCAGCTTCTCCCAGGGTAGGATCCGCCCTGGCTGGGGCCCCGCGGCCCAGAGGGAGGTGGATCCAGGCAGAACTGAAGTAACCCTCACAAACTCACCTGTCTGGGCAGGGATGGGGGCTCACTAAAGAAAACATGTCAGGTCTTTGTTTTTTTGAATTTTAGAGAGCCAAGATGGCCCAGAAAGACCACTGTCAGCCAGCCCCTTGCTTCCCTCCTCAGGAGCCCCAGGCCTTTGGAAGCCATCCTCCTGGTCCTGTGGATTCGGTCCCTCCTTTCGCTGGCCTCAGGGCTTGGTGCTTGGTTTTTCTTTCTGAGATCTGGGTCCCCATTCCTCCAGGGGGAAACGTTGCCGTGTGGCTTTCTTTCTTTCTGTCCTTCCCGTTTGCGTGCCCCCTACAGCTCCTCAGCCCTGGTGGCGCCCAGACGAGGCTGAAATCACTGCTGTGCCTCTGAGACACGGTAGGTCAGGGACTGGAGCCCCTGGGCGGGGTCCTGCGTGTTGGGACCAGGCAGGTTTGCCTTCCTTCATCAAGGGAGCGCAGGTTTGAGGGCCGCCCAGGATGGTGGCAGGAGGGTGGCACCCTATTACTTCTGAGTGGGCCGGGCACTGCCCCCCGAGAGGACCCTCTCTTGTCGCCTCAGTTCTGACATCTGAAAAACACCCCACACACTGATATCCCCCCCTCCGATTCCCCGGCAGGCTATCAGTAAGGGTCACAGGAGATGAAATGCACCCCACAGTGCCTGGCAAGGGCTCAGCATCTAGAGGCTGCCCTTGTCGTTGGGGATGACACGTGGGTCCGAGGCAGCAGAGAGAGGCCTCGTGTCCCTTCCTTACATTCCCTCGAGCGCAGCCCGAGGCTGGCTCCAAGGCCAGGCCTGCTGCTCGTCAGGCAGGGGCCGCAGGAGGGCTCCTGCTTGCAGCCTCAGCGCCACGGCAGGCGGGAGGGGTGCCGGACTGGAGCCGGGAGCCATCCGCCCCTTTGCTCCCCACGGGGACCCCGGCCTTCCCGGCCCGAAGTCTTGGCTTGGGCTCAGATCTTAAGATCCAGGTCAGCTGTGTCCACTGTCCGCAAGACACTCCCAGGCCGCCACGTGGCTGATTCTTGCTCCGGGATCCTGCTCTGGCCCAGGGGAATTGCCACTGTGTTCCAAGTGTCATAATTAGGTTCTGGGAGTATCTCATTCACTGTGAAGTTCTCTGTGTGCCTGTGATCCCTGCTCTGAACACCCGTGGCCTAGGAATGTCCTACGGAATTCTGACTGATAAATGGCTGGACCTGAAATGCACCCTGGGGTTTCTGGACCATTACCCTCGTGCTGTACCACCGAGGTAAGCCCAGATCTGTCAGCAAAGGGCTGTGTGTCAACCAAGCTCTTGCTGGCCAGAGAACCATGCTTTTCAGCCGGCTGGTGTTTCAGAAATTAACTTTGGCCATCTAAAAGCCTGAGCGGCCAGCTCAGGGGAGCAACAGTGCGCCAGCCACTGTTCCTTCTCTAATGATGACGATGAGGCTGAGACCATGGTCTCACTCAGAGAGAAGCTATTTTGAGCTGTTCCACCCGCCTGGCAGTCCTCATAGACTCATTGTTCAGAAGATGGGCTGGGGTCCTCTTGGTTTCTTCTGCACGTCAGTTACCTGGAAAGGGGCTGCCTCTTGAGGCTGGTGCCTTCTCAAGTTTGGAGAAGCAGCCGCAGGTGAGGGGAAGGTCCGGGGACCGGGGGGTAGGAGGGGAGATGTCCTTCCAAGCACACAAACCCTGGCATGAAGCCATCCCACACTGGGACACATGGTGACACTTGTCACTCAAGAAAACTCCACCCGTGTCTGAATGTGTCACTAAACACGAGACAGAAATTGCTCTCTCTTCTCTACCTCCTTAGCAGCCACCCCCGGCCGCGCCAGGAAAATAAGATCCCCCCTCTCCCTGTGGGGGCAGTCCCCTCCTGACACCTGTCATCTCTCCGGGGAGTCAAGCAAACTCAGGGGAACTGTTTGGGGTGACGGGCCGTGGGCTGGAGTTACTTCCCTCAGCTGGAGCTGTTTTTATCTGATTCTAGGGGAGGCTCCGTGCTCTGACGCCGCTTCCTCGAGAGCAGCCAGTCGCCAGCCTGTTCTCCTCTTGGCCTGGAGGATGCTGTCTTCACACAGCAGAAGGTTCTGACTTTCTGGATAAAACCAAATCTGAGCCCACACCTTGAAAACACAGAGGCTGCCAAACGTGAAAGGAGCAGCAAAGGCCCAGGTTGGGGCCAGGAAGAAAGGAGGGGGAAGAGATAGACACTGCCAGGTGTCCAGAAAGTGCAACCCGGCCCCAGGCAGCTCATCAGATCTAAGGAGTGGACAGCAGGGTAGGATCAGGCCAAGGAGAGAACCCACCCCTGAGTCAGGGCCAGGGTGGGCTAGGGGAGCAAGTGGCTGGAAGGAATTCTGTCTCTCCCAGGATGCCGGTTTGCTCTCCGGGCCACAGGGACCCTGAGGCCCACTTCCCAGTAGGACTGTAATTAGAAAGCCCAGCGGATGGGGTAGGTGGGCCACTGCCCCAGGTGGAGGGTTGTAGGAACAGAGACTATGCAAGCAGCGGCTCGCAAAGGGGCTCACGGTGGAGCGAGGGACCTGTCCTGCGGCCGGCTCCCCAAGCCTTTGGGGAAAAAGGCCAGACAGGCCACTCCTCCAGCCCTGGCCAAATTCTGACTGAGCCCCTGATGGATAGGAAATGCCCCTTGGAGAGAAACACACCCAATGGCACAAAGTCCAGTCAGGCCAAAAACTTGGCTTTGGGCCAGTCCCACATTTTAGCGATTCCTACATTAGAATGAAAATGAAAAGAAAACAGACATGTAAATGTCCATCTTGTCACTGTCATGTAGGTCTCCGTTCTCTTAATTTCTGATGGATCTTGAATCAGACAGCTTCTGTTGGCTCCCGGCTCCGTAACAATCACTTACAGAGGTGTCTTAAAGGGCCTGACCGTCCCTTTGCAACAGGAGAAATCCCTGTGTAACACCAACAGTATCACCTGAATGCCATCTGTTTGCAAGAAGGATTTTCAGAGAGAGGGCCAGCACCCCATACAATTTTGTTTTTTCTTTCTGTTTTTTGCAAGCCTAAAACCGCCAAAGCTCTCAAATGGTGACTTTTCTCCCATAGCTTATTTAGTGGCAAAATCTGACCTGTACTGAGGTAAGGCTATTTACAGTTTTATTGATCCTAATTAGTCTGACTATTCACATGTTTCTTTGCAGAAATGGTCACGTGTTTGATGGTGGTGAGCTGTTCCAGACTCTGCCGGGCTGTAAGGAAATGTATGGCAAATATCTCTTATTCTCCTCCTCAGATCCAAAATTTGTCATGTCAGAGACCCATTCGGCCCCAAGGATTTCAGAAAAAGGAGTGTGGACCCCAAATGGTGTTAAGTATAACGGGAAAGGCTGCCCATGCAAACCTGGGTTGGTAAATTAGTGTATGAACATCGGGCAATTCCAGCAGTTTCGCCCCGGGAACGGAGACACTGCCCTCCTTCCCAGGGAAACAAAGGTCAAACACACCCAGGCCTGGAGATTTCAGGGGCAAGGAGGTGAGGGCTGCGATTAGGGTCAGCAGACACCTGCGGAGATCTGTCCCCCTGACAGCTGAGGGCACAGCAGGCCTTTCCACACTGGGCTGGGGTCTGTCCATCCTCACTCCCGCTGCCCCCAGGAGACCAATCTGGCAGGGGCTGGGGACCCGGAGGAGGTGTCCACTGCAGTCCTGCCCCTTGACGAGCCCTGCTCGTCTGGACAGGGCCACTGCTGCCTGGACTGGCGGCCCCTCGCGCCCTCGCAGTGGGCGGTGGGTGACGCGAAGCGGGCCGAGCCGGGGCGCTCCTGCCTCTCTCTAGGCATTCCCATCTCCATCCCACTCCCCACCCAACCCAGATGCTCTGCGTGTCTGCACTACAGGGCTTTCTGGAGCAGCGGGAGGAGCTGGTAGCCCTTAGAGCCTGCTGAGAGAAGCAGATGCGTTTTCAAAATAAATAATATTTTTAAGTCCCCTCTTTCCACTCCAAACCCGGGAAGCAGCAGAAGACAACATGTGAAGACCCCGTGCCCGCCTCTGCCTGACGTGGCCCTCCGGGACACCGGGCTTCTCAGTGGCTCGCCCGGGCTCACAGCTGCTGTGGGATGCCCTGCTCCTTGTAGCCTGTAAGGAAGAAGCAGAGGAGAGATGGTCAGACACCCGGTTCCCTCAGCACTTCTCCAGACGGTGCCCCCAGACTAGAATATGCTAGAACTTATTCACACAGAGGTGTAAATGACTGCCAAGGTCATTGGCTTTTTTTTTTTTTTTCATTGGCTTTTAATGGGAAACAAAGGGATGAATGGAGAACAGTGGATCTTTGGGTTTAGTGGGGGATATATGAGAGGAGGGTGTCTGCTGCAGATCTGGTGGGGCTTGGAAGGTTATCACTGTGCTCCTGAATCCACACCCCTGAAGCTACTGCACAAAAGTGGCCCCAGCAGACTGGCCTGCTGTGATTTCCCAACGCGGAGCCTTGGGAGGAGGTACCAGGCAGGCTTCCCCAAGTGATGGGCATCTGGTTCACGTGGACCGAGAGGAGGAAAGAATTAAAAAGGAAGACAGCGTACACAAGGCAGAAGCCGAGCGTGTGTGCTCCATCAGCTGGACGCCTCTGACACAGGCCAAGGCAACTGATGGCTTCGAGCCTTTAACGCCTTGGTGATGATTACTAGTTGCTGAGTTGTTACCCCTATTAGCTGGTAACTCAGCCCACAGAGGAGCATCAGTGGAATTACATGTAGTTTTTCTCTTTATTTACCAGATATTCATCAAATTTAGTTGTTCGGGGTAGAGGAAGATGTAGGGAGTAACCGATGAAACCAGAGTGGCCATGAGTGGATGATGGTTAAAGCCAATATGTGCGTTTAGGGACTCATTGTACTAGGCCTTCTACTTGTGTCTATGTTTAAACATTTTCCAAAATAAAAAAAAAAAAGAAGCTTCTGAAAATAGAAGCTTGTTGACCAATTGGGATAGGGGGTGTTTGTGTGCATTGGGGGTGCAGGGCAGGACAGTGAATGGGAGGCCCAAGGCAGCCCAGGCATGTGGCCTGTCATCCCCCAACAGACTCACCTTGGGAAACTTTGGAGCAACACAGGGTTATGAGGCAGCATGAGGAAGAGGAGAAAAAGAGAAAGAGAAAACAGTCTGAAAACAGAGGCCAGAGGGACTGCCTGAAATATAAAAAGAGGGAGGATGCACAGTGCGGCCCAGGAGATGGAAGTGGGCTGTGGCCAGTATTCACAGTGACCAGCCCCTGCGGCCAGTGGCCAGCCCCAGCAGGCGTGTGGACTTGGCTGCAGGAGCGCACAGAAAGCATCCTCCCCTGGGGGTCACACTCGGTGAGACACTGCCAAGAAGCTCTCTCCCCTTCCCTCCGTATCTCAGCCAAGGCCGCTCTTCTGCTCATCTCCTGCCCCTCACTCTTCTCCCACCCCCAACCCATGTTTGTCTTGAGATGGAATTCTGGATGGACCCCAAGAGGGACGGGTACAGGACAGGTTTAACTGTGACAACCTAAAGATGTTGAAGTGACCCATCCTGGCTCCAGCCCAGCTCTGTCTGAGCCACGGGGTTCTCCTTTTATGTGGACAGGAGCCACATATATAAAACCTATTGCTTTGGGAAAGACCCAGGTGGGGGATGGCAAACAGACTTTATCTTGCAGACATCTTGGATCCATTGATAGTGACTGCCTGAAGCCCTGTCTTAAGAACATGTAAGACTATTCAGCAGAAAGTGTCATGATTGATTAGCAATGTCTGTCATGGGTATGGCAGTAGAGAGAGGCTCTCGTACAACTACCAAATATTTATTGACCCACAACCAATACAGGTTGTTGTTGAGTGTTATTTGTTATTATTCATATAAATAGGGCAGCGGCCTTATACGTTCCTGATTTTAACTTCTACTTTGATCTATATTTCTCTGATTCCCCTCTTAGGAGGTTTTTCTTGATGGTACATTTCTTGATGACACCCCACGCAATGCCACGTTAAACAAAATCACCCTGTATTGTTATCATTGAAAAGTTCCCTTCATTTTCACAGGACGGGGCTGGAGTGACACCGGAAAGAACAGCCCCTTATCCAACTATCTACCAGGACAAATAAGTCAATTGTGGTTATTCCCTTCTACGTAGTCATCCTGGGATACTCACACTGCATTGTTGCTCGGGGCAGCTCCAGCCCACAGCACCATCTCAACAGTGGCAATTACTCATCCTTTGAGGGTGGGCTTACTTTTTGGAGTAAGGGCAAAGGCACCCCTTGCTGAGATGGGTGAGCAAGTCTGGTGGACAGGCGGGGTAAGTGGGTAGCGGTGAGGTGTGTTGGTTTTTGTGGTGCAGCCCTCAAGTCCATTCCCCAAACAGTGTTCTAAAAAGTCTGACACAAAGACAGCATCCCTGGAACCAAGGAGGTGACCCACAGGGAAAGCTCGGATTGGGGCGGTGGGGGGGGGGAGAGGGTAGGAAGGGTGGGGAGGCGGGTTCCAGCACTTGATTAACCTGGCGCCAAATACGGCCCCGACACCAGCCACAGAAGAGGGATTTCTGCTGAGTCAACAGCTAGGGTGGTGGAAGGTGAGGAAGTGACAGACCCCCATCTGCCCTTCTCGGGTCTCTGTTTCCTCCTTTAGGAGGTGATAAGGGGAGTTCTTGAAGCTGTCTCTAAGATCCAGACCCCTGTGGGTCCTGGTATCAAGCATGACCAAAAAAAGAAAACCAGAAAGCTCTCGGGGTCAGATTAGGCATCAACACATTTATTGAGACCCACCCTGTGACACAGGCTTGTGCCGCTGTAACAGGAAATTTCCTTACTAACATGCCCCAGTGCCTGGCCAGACAGTTGTGTGATGAGGAGATGATATAGTAAGAGGGGTCGGGGCTCCTATTGGGTGGAGATGGGGCAGCCGTCACAGGCTTTCCATCTGCCGCTGAGGAAGACTCTGAGAGCAGAGGCCCCTTCCAGTTTCCAACTGGGACCAAGGTCAGGAGCTTACACAGGCCTCTCGGGAAGCACCCAACTCCCCCTGGGAAATTGTCAGACTTGGCTTCTCAGGACTCACAGGATGACAGGCAGCACTTCTGTCCAATTAGCGATGTTCTGCACCCCTCCCCACAAATGCCAGTGGCCCGTGGACAGGCCCATGGGGCGGGGCTCCCATGAGGGGCCTGCCTTGGCCTCTGCCTGCTCTGCCCACTGTCCGACGTCCTCCCTGACAGCAGCCCCTGCCCTGAGAGCAGCTCTCCGCGCAGCAAGGAAGGACTGTCTTCTGACAGCTCCTCAGCTTCTCCCTGCCCAGTGTCCCCCTCCCTCTTCTCTGGCTGCCCCTGTCTCCCAGCTCTAACTTTGGGATGCCCTGGCAGTCCAGCATCCCAGGCAGGGGAGGAGCTGCTTCCAAGCAGCCTGTCTGACCAATCGACGGGCTCTGCCGAGCTCGCTCATGCTCAGGGGCCTGCATTTTCTCCAGCCTGGTGGCTTAATTGGTCACTGACCCGAGCCTTGCTGGGCCCTGGCATCTGTGTGTGCCCTGAATCTTGGGTCCTCACAGGATCCTGAACTCAGACTGGGTCAACTAGGAATCATTCTAGATCGTTCTAGAGTCCCTGGCCCCTGGGCTTCCCCTCCTGTTTCTGCTGTCCTTACCTGGCACAGCTCACATCTGGCATTGACATTCCACCTGCCAATGGTTTTGTCAGGTGTAGGACACAGTAGAAGCGTGGGGTGTGGGGAGAAGGGCAAAGTGCCTGAGGAGACGTGGTCCTTGTTAGGACCTGAGGCCTAATGAGGTAGACGGAACGTGTGACAATACAGGGACATGCACAGGGGCACAGGGTGACGAGTATGGCTGCTTAAAATATGTGTCTGTTTTAAGATCTCACTAGGTTATTTTTAAAATGTTAATCAAGTCTTCTCTGGTAGTTTTGTGTCGGGATCAAGTTCGTGTTAAGTGACTGGTGAAGGTCCACTGCATACAAATTAGGAAGAGTAAGGCTTTAGCATCAAGGAACGAAGAGCTTAGTTTAAAAGAAGTTGAAATTATGCTGTTCTAGTTGTAGAAAAAGTTACAGTGTTTCCTGAGGGCAAACATACCCAGTGGGCTTTTCCTCTTTCTGGAAACGGCATGATGGAGGCACAGGGGACCTGAGCTGACGCGGGCCACACCCCTGCTACTGCGGTTGTCAGCAGGACTGTTTCTGAGCTGAATGGGGGCTCCCTCCCTCCCTTATTTACGCCCTTCCCCTCCGGCTCAGGCCCCTCAGATTCCCTGCAGGCCTTGGGGCTGGGCGTGCGGGGAGGGTCCCGGAGGCAGATCGCCCTGCGAAGCCCCCATGCCCCGAAGCATCGCAAACACCCAGACCACCCTGGCCCCTGCCCCTGCTCCCCGCATGCCGCCCCGCTCCAGCCCCTCGGGGAGGTGTGGTGCCAGCGGTTACTCACTGGCGAGGATGACCATGTCCATGCCCCAGAAGATGCTCATAATCCAGCCCACCATGACGATGGCCGTGAGCATCTGGATGAGGGCCGCAGCGATGTTCAGCCAGAAGACGCAGCACACGTGCCTGTCCGGGAGGTCAGTGCGGGCGCCACACAGCACGGTGAAGGCCGAGACGAACGTCCCTGTGAGAGGCCAGAGGGGACAGCTTCCTGAGGGCGCTGGGAGACACAGCGGCACGTGCGCTCATCACTAGCCTGGGGCCCAGCGGTTCGCCCTCTGGGAACTCCGAGAGAGCGGCCTGTGTGGCACCTTCCGGCTCAGGCCACCTCTGCTGCCCATACTAGAGATGCCAATGTCCCAGCCTGGAGGAGGCATGGCCTGGGGATGCCAAGGACCCAGCACAGTCCTGAGGCCTCTGGGGGAACACAGAGGTCACAGGACAATTGGTCCCTGCCATTAAGGAACAATGGTGCAGCCACTTGCAAGGACAACAGACAGCAGGTGGAAAAGGCACCGACCTCGTGTGGCAAAGATCCTTAGGGCCTAGCAGTTCAGAAGTAGGAGCTGCTGCCGCTGAGGTGACACAGAAGCCACCCACAGGGTAAATTCAGGAAATGACCCCCAGCACACATGCTGATTGCGGGTGCCAGCAGAGGGGAGAGAGCACAGGCCAGGGCATATCCTGAGGGGGCTCCCCCAAGCACCCCAGACCTGAAAGGGGAAGGACAGAGAGCCCGAGATTTACTGAGCAGCCACAAAGCACAGAGCAACGTGGTGGGTGTGTCCATGGTCTTTACCTCGTCCCAAACTTCCCAGAGCCCTGCGGGTACTATTGCTGCATTTACTGACGTTTCTCTCCAGCCAGGCTTTTTTCTACACAGGCTTGGAGCCCCTCTATGACCCTGCAAGGCAGCTGGCCTTCCTTCTATTTGTATGAGTTTCCTATGGCTGTTGTAACAAGTTACCACAAACTTAGTGGCTTAAAACAACGCAGTTCTGGAGATGAGAAGTCTGAAATGGGTCCTCAGGGCTGGGTCCTTTCTGGAGGCTCTGGGGGACCGGTGGTTCCCTGGCCTTTTCCAGCTTCTTGAGGCTGCCTGCCTTCCTTGGCTCGTGGCTGTGTCATCAAAGCCAGGAGCTGCACTTCTCTCCTCTCTGACCTCAGCTTCCATCCTTACATCTTCTCTCTCTGACTCTGATCCTCCTGTCTCCCTCTTATAAGGGCCCTTGTGATTCCATTGGGCCCACTGGATAATCCAGGGTAATTCCCACATTTTAAGATCCTTAACTTAGTTACATCTGCAAGGTCCTTTTTACCATGTAAGGTACCATATTTGCAGGTTCTGGGGACCAGGGTATGGACATCTTTGGGGGGGGCATCCTTCTGCCCACCACACTAGCTTACATATTGTATTAACCAGGTGTTTCTGATGCTTTGATATCTGGGGCCTTGCTGACCCTGGAGAGAACCCCTCCCAGAGCTAGCCAAGTCCTAGAGATACTAAATGACTTTCTTACACAAGCCAACCAATCCACAGCCCACACCCAAACTCCTCCTTTATGGACTCTCACACTCTGGGTCACTGCCCGCTACCCTAATCACCCAGAGCCAGGTACCAGACCACTAGGGCAGCTCCTACACCCCAGAGACCACTGAAATGATTCAAACTAGCCAATCCTAAACCTGCTTACCCTGTCTTGCTGTTCCTTCCCATGGAAACCACAGTAAAGGCTCCTCCCCACATTTTCCCCTCACTCCCTCTGCCTCCTAACTGTGCTTTCTTATTTGCCACCCCCAAAGTGCGGTGTGCCCCCTCCTCTTAGGAACTGTGAGTAACAAACTATCTTTCCTGCAAACTATTATATATAGAATGGATAAACAACAAGGTCCTACTGTATAGCACAGGGAACTATATTCAGTACCCTGTGATAAACTATAATGGAAAAGACTATGAAAAAGAACATATATGTGTATAACTGAATCCCTTTGGTGTACACCAGAAATTAATACAACACTGTAAATCAATTATACTTCAATAAAACTTTTTTTAAAAGAGGAATGTTAAAGAGAAAAAAACTATCTTTTCAGTGGCCATGATTTCCTGATCTGTTGGCCTCACCATATCTAACTAATAATAAAATCTACATTTTAAAGCACGCACACACACACAATCAAGAGTTAAGTATCTTGTCCAAGGTCACACTCACAGGTGGGCATTGACCCCACCGCTGTCTGACGCGGATGGCCATGCTCTGTCGCCCTGACCTCACAGGTGGAGTGACCTGAGAGAGCAGGTCCAGACGAGAATGCAAGCCACTTGGGAAATCAGCCCATGATTCTCACGTTCCTACTTCTCATACTTCCTGCTCCTTGAGGAAGCTGCTCTGCAGGTGGGGATTGGGGTGGACGGAGTTGGGGGAGCTTTGATTCCCCTCCCTCTCTGCACCCTGGCTGCTGGCCCTTCTTTGCTCCAACTTGGTGGCTCCTACTGGCTTCTTAATGTGGCCTTTCCCTCAGCCCACACACTCGTGCCTCAGATCCAAGGTCGACCCCTGAGTCCACCAGGCTGATTTCTGATCCCAACCCTGCCCCGTCCTCCTCTTCATCCGAACAACTGCCACTGCTTGTGAGTGTTTCTGCCTCCTGAGGTACTGAGAACTCCTCTGAGGTCCCAGGTGGCATCCCATCCACCTTTCTGCCCCCAGCCCAGCACAGCGCCTGGTGAACAGCAGGTGGGATACGGGGACCCAAAGAAATGCAACCAGTGTGAAGTTCATCCTCAGACCACCTGCATCATCGCCTGCAGTATTTGTTTAAAATGCAGATGCCTGGGTGTCCGTCTGAGAGCTGGATGTCTAAGGGGTGGCCCAGGAATCTGCATTTCTAAGCAAGTTTCTCCTTCCACTCAAATAATGATAATGCTCACTAAAGTGTAATTACCAAGGGTTCAAGATCAACCAAACAGATCCAAGATCAAGATTCAAGTCTAAACAGCCCCTCTGTGTTCCTGACGCAGCGCCAGGGGTGGCCCTCTGGGAGATTTGGGGAGGCAAATGCTGTTCTCCCACTCTCACCAAATGGACAGTCCGGTTTTTTTTGGTTTCTAAAAATTTATTTATTTATTTATTTTTGGCTGTGTTGGGTCTTCGTTGCTGTGCACGGGCTTTCTCTAGCTGCGGCGAGCGGGGGCTACTCTTCGTTGCGGTGCGCAGGCTTCTCATTGGGTGGCTTCTCTTGTTGCGGAGCACGGGGTCTAGGCGCACGGGCTTCAGTAGCTGTGGCACGCGGGCTTAGTTGCTCCATGGCATGTGGCATCTTCCCGGACCAGGGATCGAACCCCTGTCCCCTGCATCGGCAGGCAGACTCCCAACCACTACACCACCAGGGAAGACGGACAGTCCGTTTTGTCAGCAGGGTGTTGAGGAGACTGGAAGTGTCTGAGATGACTAAGACAAACGGAGAAAGCAGAGCTGAAAAATGATGGAGACACGAATTCAGGGCTTGGTAGTGGGCACAGGAGGAAACAGGACATAGGGACCATGAGAAAGTGTGTGCCACCATCCTTTGCCTCTGCTCGTGTGTCATGCTGTGGGATATGAGATGAACACAAGCTGACACCATTAAAAAAGAGAACGTCACTGAAGTAGAAAGATGGTAGAAGGTGAACACAAGCACGTGGGGGAAATACTAAGCAAAATTAACACAGATATCATCTACCGCACACCTACAGTGTGTTGCAGCATGCTACCTCCTCCTAACCACACTACCTCTAATCCTTACGACAGTTGGACAGCGGTTCCCGCCTTATAGAAGGGGAAACCAAAGCTCAGAAAGGCTAAGTGACTTGCCCACATAGCAGAGTGCAGATTTAAACCCACATCTGTCTAGTGTGGAAGCCTGAGCTCTTTTCAGTCTAGGAGGTTGCATCCTTACACTAAAAATTAAGGAAAATTATGGAAAACAATATGGCCCTTCCTCAAAAAATTAAAACTAGAGTCACCATATAACCCAGCAATTCCACTTCTGGGTATATACCCAAAAGAACTGAAAGCAGAGTCTCAAAGAGATATTTGTACACCCATGTTCAGTGCAGCATTATTCACAATAGCTGAAACGTGGAGGCAACGCAAGTTATCTACAGATGGATGAACAGACAAGCAAAATGTGATATATACATACGCTGGAATATTATTCATCTTTAAAAAGGAAGGAAGTTCTGACACAGGCTACAACATGGATGAACTTTGAAGATATTATGCTAAGTGAAATAAGCGAGTCACAAAAAGACAAATGTTGTCTGATTTCACTTGTATGAGGTACCTAGAGTAGTCAGATCATAGGAAGAGAAAATAGAATGGTGGTTGCCAGGGGTTGGGGGAGGAAGAGATGAGGAGTTATTATTTAATGGGCACAGAGTTTCAGTTTTGCAAGATGAAAGAGTTCTGGAGATGGAAGGTAGTGATGGTTGTACAACAATGTGAATGTGCTTAATGCCACTGAACTGTACACTTTTTTTTGTTTTGTTTTTAAAAATTTATGTATTTTATTTATTTATTTTTGGCTGTGTTGGGTCTTTGTTGCTGTGCACAGGCTTTCTCTAGTTGCAGAGAGCGGGGGCTACTCTTCGCTGCGGTGTGGGGGCTTCTCTTGTTGCAGAGCTCGGGCTCTAGGCGTGCAGGCTCAGTAGTTGTGGCTCGCGGGCTCTAGAGCACAGGCTCAGTAGTTGTGGCACACGGGTTTAGTTGCTCCGCGGCATGTGGGATCTTCCCGGACCAGGGCTGGAACCCGTGTCCCCTGCATTGACAGGTGGATTCTTAACCACTGCACCCTGTGGAAGTTCCGTGAATGGATTTATAATATAAAAACATCGTTTTAATCTATTCAACCAGAAGTTTTTTTTTAATGATTTTAGCACCCTTTCATATGAAGAGGTGTTAATTACTTTAAATGAGTCTTACCCGCTAAAGAACGGATCCTCTCCAACAGCGACGGGTTGGTTCTAACTTATTGCATGAGCACCAACCACGAGCCCGTGCTGGGCCCTGGGAATACAGAGTGCAGCAGGAGATGGGGCTCGGCCAGGTCCCACTCCGGGAGCTCACATTCTGGTGGGGACACTGGGTCACAAAAGGAACAGTGACGAATCTTGTTTGGTTTATCAGAAAAGGCTTCACAGAAGAG